TTTTTTTTTTAACATATAATGTATTATTTGTTTCAGGGGTACAGGTCTGTGATTCAACAGTCTTACACAATTCCACATACCCTCCCCAATGTCTATCACCCGGCCACCCCATCCCTCCCACCCCCCACCACTCCAGCAACCCTCAGTTTGATTCCTGAGATTAAGAATTCCTCATATCAGTGAGGTCATATGATACATGTCTTTCTCTGATTAACTTAAAAAACAAATAATCCAGTCAAGAAATGGGCAGAAGACGTGAACAGACATTTTTCCAAAGAAGACATCCAAATGGCCAACAGACACGTGAAAAAGTGCTCACCATCGCTCGGCATCAGGGAAATCCAAAGGCAGATGCTTAACAGACTGAGCCACCCAGACGCCCCTCCTGCATGGCTTTTAAAGATCAGCAAAGAAGGGGCGCCTGGGTGGCTCAGTCGTTGGGCGTCTGCCTTCAGCTTGGGTCATGATCCCGAGGTCCTGGGTTGGAGCCCGTGTCGGGCTCCCTGCTTGGCAGGAAGCCTGCTTCTCCCTCTCCCACTCTCCCTGCTTGTGTTCCTGCTCTCGCCATCTGCTCTCTCTCTCTCTGTCAAATAAATAAATAAAATCTTTAAAAAAAGAAGCAGCAAAGAAGAAAAAATACACAGCTTCCCTTACTAACCTATCTCAGAGGTTTCTAGATTCATTGTACCATCGAATAAAGTTGTAGAGACGCACAGTGCATGTCTGAAACTTCAGTCCCCGTGATTCCAAATTCAGAAATTTGCAGGTTTTAGACAGTGATTCGGGGTATTCCTGCACACCATGTCAGGGTCTGGGGGGCCTCCGGGAGCCCTGTCTCTGACCATGCCTGTGCCAGAACATGGATATGTGCACCAAGTGGAACAGAGAAAGGTCAAACATTGCCTTGTGTGAAAAGTTTAGGTTTGCCACCAATTGGGTTAAGAAATGTCCGTTTCTTAGAGCTTTTCAGACTTGGGAATTGTGGGTCATAAGGACTCCTTTACTTATGAAGTCCCTCCCCCTGGGGAACTTGAGCTTCATGATGGGAGGCATGGAGACATTAGTGTGACACGAGCATCGTGTTGCCTTTTCTGAATTTCAGGGCAATGCTCCCTAGTTAGTGCTCTTTAGTGTTTTAGTACCATGTGCATCAAAACTCCTGGATGCAGGAAGAATTCTGCCACACTAAGCACGTTCTCTTTGCCCCAGATTTGTCCCGCAGATTATGGACATCTCGTTTAACCCAAGGAGAATCTCCTGAAAAAGTATTTCCTCGTTTTTTTAAAGGAAAACAAGCCCAGGTGGATTTTGCTAATTTGCTCTCAAATTTGATTTTTGCTTCCTTGACTTTATGGTGTCGTAGTTAAATTTGTTGTTGCTGTTATTCAGGCAAATTCCCCGTTTGATGTATTCCTAGAAATCTTAGAAAGTTTTTTAGTAGATCACTCAAACTTCCTATGTTTGATGAGCAGTGTAGGTGGTAGAAGAGAGACCCATCATCTCAAAAGGCCCCCTAAACCAAAGACTGGCACAGCATCGGGAGTCCCCTTTTTTGCTGGCAACATTAATAACTACCTAAAAGTTTTTAATAGAATCTGGTTAACAGAGCACATGGGTGGCTCAGTCATTTAAGCGTCTGCCTTCAGCTTGGGTCATGATGCCAGGGTCCCGGGATCGAGTCCCTCATTGGGCTCCCTGCTCAGCGAGAAGTCTGCTTGTCCCTCTCTCTGCCCCTCCCCCTGCTCGTGCGCTCGCTCTCTCTAGCTCTCTCTCTCTCTTTCAAATAAATAAATCTTTTAAGAAAAAGAATCTGGGCACCTGGGTGGCTCAGTTGGTTAAGCGACTGCCTTCGGCTCAGGCCATGATCCTGGAGTCCCGGGATCGAGTCCTGCATCCGTCTCCCTGCTCAGCAGGGAGTCTGCTTCTCCCTCTGACCCTCCCCCCTCTCATGTGCTCTCTCTCTCTCTCTCTCTCTCTCTCATTCTCTCTCTGAAATAAATAAATAAAATCTTTAAAAAAAAAAAAGAAAAAAGAAAAAGAATCTGGTTAATGTTTAAAATAAGAAAAACTTTGGTTTTATTCTCAGTTTAGCAAATGACTCTCCAAGAAACCATTTTTCTTTCTCTAAAAATGAAACATGAACTGTTTTCAGGTGTCTTCTAAGTTGGCATTTATCGGGTGCACTGAACTCTGGGGGAGATGTCCAAGTCAGTGGAAGATCCTGAGAGAGGAAGCTGGGAACTTCTAGCATATTCGTTAGGTTTTAGCTTCTCACACCTCTGGAGATGGGGTGACCAGGTCTCCCAAAGGGGCAATTATGTGATACACGGCCACAGAGCGGGGCCAGATCATTCCACAGCGCTGACTACCTCTAAGTTAGTGCAGATGTTTACGGACAGCAGAAAGGCAAATAGAACATTTCTACATAGTTGTCCTTTGGGAAGGATTAAGAGCCATGGATCCCTTCCAGAATGTAATGGATTTGGACGGGCTTCACGCCTTAGTGATTTCTTGTTATATTTGTCTGTGTAACCTTGCCCTGGGGGAGAGCTGGAGAAGCCCCTGCAGTCTCCAGCGAGGAAGTCAAGCCTGTGATTGTCATCGGGGAAACCTGTTTGCCAACAAACTAGTGTTTGGTGGGTAAGACAATCCCTTCCTCCTTGAGCTCCTTCCTTCCCCAAATATACTCTAAATGGGATGAGTGTGAGTAAACCCAAACTCCAGCTTCAGCTTCACTGCTTCTCCCACAGCTTTGGGAGTAAAAGTTCATCCCCAAAGAGTGCTTTTCGATATTTACAGAGACTCAAATCCCTGTTCTCAGTGTGCTTATACTTAAACAGGGGAGAGGTAAGCTCCAGAAATTCATCATTTGGGCTCTCCAGTGTTTGGTGAACTGAATATTTCACACTGTGCCTTCATAGCGTGGGAGTAAAAATTTCAAACCCTGCTTGGGAATTGAATTCTCCTGAAACGGGGAGCTTCGCTGTTTGAAAACCTCCAGGGACTAACCATTACCTACTGGATGCATTTGAACTCCCTGAGCCTGGTATTGAAGGTCCTCACAATTCTGTGCCTAATCTGCCCAGCGGTTGGCCTTATTTCCCCTCACCACCGCCCCCCACACACTCCGGTCTGTCTTCCTGTCTCAGCGTACCTGCTGCCACGCTCCACTGTGTCCCCCCAAGGAGAAGAGGATATTCCTAGGAATACAGACCCTGCCCCAAAGCTTGCTCTTCCCCAGGAGCCCAGGGGGCTCTCTTTCCTCTGAGCTGTTGAATTCGTTGAGTCAACATGATCAAACGCTACCCTCACTTACATTCAGTTACCTTTCTTTTCGCATGTCATGCCTGCCCACTAACTTGGGAGCACCTCTTGGGTGAGGACTGTGGCTTATCATTTTTGCATCCCCTGCACTACCTTCCCTACAGCAGGGGCTCCCCAAATACCTTCAGCTTCTTCGTGATTAATTGATAAATCCTTGCCTTACCTCTTAGGTGACAACAGTTGAAATACTTGGATTTATTGATTCAAACAGTAGCAAGTTGAGCCTTCCGGTTGGTTGGTTCAAAGCCAAGGACTCACAAACATCGCCCGCACCGTTTCTCACTCCACTTGGGAAACGCCCTTTCTGCGAGCGGCTGTGTCCCCAGCCAACATCCATGTGTTTGTCACCACATCGATGAACTGAAAGTATTGGAGTGGTTTTGCCCAGTGGCACGGGGTATCCAAAGGGGAGCTGCTGATCCATTGCCGAGGACGGCATTCCCCTCTGGGTGGGATCTCATGGAGGGCGCATCCTCCGGTGAGCAGCATGGGTGTTGGGGTGTTTGCTGTGCAGATGCCGCAGGGGTTCCCCGTCTGTGACTGTGCTTTTCCTTCCTCCATATCTACTTACCAAACTCCTAACTCATTGCTCTTCTGATGTTATTGCCCAGCGTCCCAGTGACCAAAATCTGCCTTGCTTTGTGTGAGCAGCACAAAAGTTAGAACTGAGGACCAAGGCAGGCTCCGTGGGGTGAGCCCCTGCCAGCCCCGCAGGGGCCATGAGACGCTTGCTGGACCTCTAAATACCAAAACCACCCCAGGGCCAAGGCCAGGGATTGCCTTTGGAGGTAGAGTGGGTACAAACGGCAAATGCACTGGCCCAGTGGGGCTGCAGGGCTGTTGAGTGTGCGGACTGGAGTGAAGGCTCTGAGGAGCACTGGGTAAAACCCAGAAGAGTTTTAAGTGTCCTTCAAACCTGAGAACATGTGAGTCTATGGGGAAAAGGATTTCTGGTGCCAGGACCTCCTATGAGTATCAGATAATCCACTTCCCACTCTCAGAGTCATTTCCAGGCCTTGTCAAAAGCAAAAGTTATTTATTTGTCATATTTTGGACAACAGTTTCCAGCATGTGGTCAATCCAAGCCAAGAAAACCAGCATTGGGTGTCAGCAAGGGAAACAGCTCTCAAGGGGAAGCAGTCCATTCTCGGAGGCCCTTGAGCCCCTGCCAGATCCCTGGGAGCTTCTCTGGTGACCCTTCTTCTCTCAGATTCGTTTGCCACTCGGGGGACACTGGGTCTGTGTCCCGCTCCATGTAGCGGCCTCCTGTGAACAGTCTGCTCTGCCCTGTTCTGCACCCCAGGGGAGAGGGCCACTGGGCCCTGCACCCTGTGTGTTCTCTTTCCTCTTTATTAAATTAAAACGGAGCGCCCCTTCCTCCCCCTGCACTTTTCATTCAAAGGGAACAGATGTGGGGTCTCTCAGCCAAGGCTCCTGGGTCGGGTCAGATCCCAGAGTGCGCGGTGGCTTTCTTGGACGGAGGGTGAGCCATTCCTTGGCATTCTCTGTCCTCTCCCTCTCTTCCAGCAATGAGGTGGTGAGGAGTGACTTGAAGAAGTTGCCTGCGCTTCCCACTCAAGCCCTGAAGGAGCACCCTTCCCTGGCCTACTGGTAAGCTGCGCCCCCTCCACACACCCCTCAGGAGCAAGCCTGCCCCGGGGCGCCGGGGGCTCGGGATGGCCGAGGGTCAGGCTGGACCCCAGCCCGACCGACTCCCATCTTGTCTGAGCGGCTTGGGCCTTGGTCAGACCATTTCCCGCATGTATTTAGATGTCATGGTTTGCGTGAGACCTCCCTTTTCTATTTTCTTTAACAAGAGGAAAAAAAAAACCTTCTAAAATTTCACTTTAGATGCTTTGCAAACTCCTTGGAGACCCTTTCATGTGCTGCTCGAGTTTCGTACTGGAATCCTTGTCATTTGATGACAGGATGTGTGAGGTTTTGAGATGTGGGAGGACTACTGGGTTGTTTTTTTTTTTTCTTCGCAGAAGAGAGAGATTGATTCTTTGATTTTCCTACAATGTTTCATATCTCCTGATTTGGCTGCCATGTAACATTCCGCCCTAGTTATCTGTCAGGCCCTGAATTACTGATTCTGAACAAAACGGGCATGTGAAAGTGTCCCGGATTACGGTTCTGGTCACAGTGGAGCGGGGCCTGCGTTCCTGGGTGATGTGCGCAAACTGTGCTGTGTGCATGGGCCCTGGTTGCTGCCCACACCCCGACAGGCAGCATGCCGTGTCCCTCATGTCCCTTCTGACTTGCTGTGAGCGTTGACTGCTTTTATAAACAACAATAATAAAATAATAAGAATAAATAAATAATAAAACAACAACAATAATAATAAAAATCGCAGAACAGATCAATCCTGATCAGTTGTTATCATGTGACTCTCCTAAGCACTTCTTTACTCTGCTTTATGAAACGTACGGATCGCTAACATGTCATCGCCTCTGGACACGTTTGCGGTCAGCACACTCGTGGCTCAGCCATGCAGGTGGCTCTGAGAGACCCCTTTGGCTGGGGTGGGGCATGCTTCGAGGGCATTAGCCGGATGAAACTCCAGTGCAGAAGTCAGTTCGCCTCAAGAGACCACGTGATGGGGCAGTGGGAGCAGAAATGAGAAGCCGAGTCCTGGGGCAGAGAGCTCCCTCCAGGCTGCTGGCCCGCCCAGTCTCATCTCTCTGAGCTGTTTTTTGCCATTCGTCCTTTGCTAACATAGGTGTCAATATGCTGTGGTTTTATAGAATTATAGTCTGCCCCCCCAGGACACTGTGTTTAGCGTGCCACTGTGCCTTCTTCCGGCTTGGCTCTCTGCACGTGGGAACACCAACAGAGGACACTCCTGTTCCCTTGTTCCTGGAGCCCTGTGGCCCTCTCCCGGTCCCCTACGCTCCCGGGGCCTCGTCTTCTGTGTCCCCCCCCCCCCCGTCCCCCTAGCTGATCACGTTTAGGGAACCAATAGCGAAGGAGCTAGAGACACAAGACTATAACTCTGAAGACCAATAGTTCCTCCACCAAGGGGATGTATTCGCCGGCTGGGGGCTGTGACGTTGCTGGGTTGTCTGGGGTTAAAGTTGCTTCTAGCCTAAACCAGCCCCCAACCATCTCCTCATTCAGTTGTTTCCAGACATTTCTTATACCCCGTGCTTACCAACTCATTCTCTCTCTCTTTCTCCCTCCCTCCCTCCCTCTCACTCCCTCTCTATCTCTCTGTGGATTTCTCTTTAATCATCTCCACATTCGGCTCCACGCTCACACGTTATTACTAATACAGAAATGCCTTCCTTCATGTTCCTGTCTTCTCTTGTGTCAACATGAACATCTTCGTCTTCACCCACATCCATACCTAACTTGCCAGAGCTTCCCTCCATCTCTGTGACCTGGCCAGGGCTTTCCCTGGGCCTCAGGTAGACCCAGGGGCACACTCACAGAGAGGATGCAGAACTGAGGGGGGGCCATTTTTGAAGCGGGTGCCCCCAGGCTCCACAGCCCGGCTGTATACAGACAAGCCAGCAGCATAGACCATCCCGTTGATTCATTGCTAAAAAAAATCTTATTTCACTGTGGTTGGCTAGTTGTAGTTGGCCTTCATATTCTAGCCTACTTATCTGGACTTTTAAAAAAGCAGAGATTTCAGGAAGGGATGAGTGATGTTCGTGCTTCATAGAGCTGGCAGCCAAGCATGTTCAAAGGCGTCCCTTGGCCTCAGCATCATGCATCTCTATGAGTAACCATGACCCCTTGTTGGTGAAGGAGACCTTCACTTGCCCTGACATCACAATCTCTATCCAGCTGCCTGCATCTCTGATCATCCCCGAATGGAGGACTCAGATTTGCAGTTCTTCCAGGCTCTCCTGCTCTTGCTGGCCTTCTTGGATGTGGCAGACAACCGTCAGGCCAGAATAAGCCATAGGGAGCCCATCCACACTAGCCAGGAAAGGCATTACAGCCTAGAGAGCGAAGCCATGGGTTTTAGAATCCCAGCCACGTTTCTGAACAGTGGGGTAATGACAGCTCAGGGAAGCTTGAGTTACTTCTCCGCTGCCTAAGTTTCCCAGCTATAAAACAGAATTAGCCATACCAACCCAATCCAGACTGTAATTAAGAGCGGAAGTAAGAAGTCACATGATGCAATTAGCGAATAGTGAAAGGTACATAATAATGTTGAGTAATCGTGCCGTAATCCTTTCTGCTAATTTTCCCCAAGCGTGTAACAAGCTTGGACTTCTACTCCACGGGATTTCCCTATTGGGAGGCATCTGAGGCAGAGGTTAGAATTATGTGCCCTGCATATTGAATGGAGCACTGGGTGTTATATGCAAACAATGAATCATGGAACACTACATCAAAAACTAATGATGTAATACATGGTGATCAACATAACATAATAAAATTAAAAAAAAAAAAAAAAGAATTATGTGCCCAGCGCCACAGAACAGAGCTGTATGAGGGCCCTGACCTGGATTACTCTCCAGGGCCAAGTTTGCAAATGCCGAACGCCCCCCTCCCACACACCACCCATACCGGCTATGCCGGGGCACCAGCCTTTACTCCAAAAAATCACTGCCCACTGCAGGCAACGGCTCCCCCAAGACAGGAAACCATATCGCCATCCCCATGTTTCCTCCTAATCCCCCATGCATTTCCTGGGCCCCTTGCCTGTGGAGAGATGATCTCACTGAAAGACTATGGCTATGGCGAGGCATAGTCAGCCTTAATCACCTGTCTTTTTCCTTCATGCAGCACAGTGTCCTCCAATTAGTGTTTTGGGATTCTCTTTACTCCGGCTGGTGCATTTTTTTATAGTTATTCCACTGAGTCCCTACCACAGCTCTGGGGTCGCTGGGAAACTGCAAAGCTCAGCGCCCTTGAGCCATCTGTAAATTCCAGAGGAAGTAGGGGCGGGACTGGGGGCAGAATGGGTTCTCAGTCAGCCTGGCCTGTGTATGCACAGGATGGGCCCATGGTGTTTCGATTGGGCCCAAAGAAGTGGGAAGAGCTGAGGAAGGAGAAGCCAGATATCGTGGCCTCACCGATGGAGGAGCTCCAGGGAGCAGTGGGGGTGGCGGAGCCTGCAGCTGTCGGGCACTGAGAAGACATTTAGTCGGGAAGCAGCTAAACAGCTGCCTACTGGTGTTTCTGACTTTCCCTGGTGTTGGTCTGAGCCTCGACCGTGTAGCTGGGAAGCTACAGCACTACACTGATTTCGATCTCCCTGGCCCAGCCCGGGGATTCTCCCTCCCAGAGCTCTGAAGGGAATCGGCTCAGATCTACACTGAGTTGCTTGAGCCTAGACCCAAGAGTTGACCTCATAAAATGCTAGATCCTATGGTAGGAAACATGCCAACGCAGCCGTTGACTCAGTGCGTGGGAGGAGAGCAAGCTAGGAGAGCAACCCCCGAATGTCTTGACATGACCCTGAAGGTCTGGTGAGGTGGGGTTCTCCCCAGGCAGGACGCTGCTGGAGAATTCTCTCGGGAGGGGGCTTTCTCACACTCCAAGTAGAGCGTCCAGGGTTGCCAGGGAGCCAAGGAGAAACAGAACTGCACCTGCCCCTTTGCGAACAGAGGGGGTCCAGACCCCATCCAAATGACTCTCCAATGAGAAAAGGACTCCTTGTAGCTAGCCAGTTCCTGTTCTGGGTGTTTGTAAGGACACTTGCTTGTGAAGAGTCAGATGATCGTACACACACCAGATTTCAGAATACTAAAATGAAGAGATAACCATTAAAGATTAAGATAATAATTGGCAAATCAATAAATGACCCCTGAGTAGTAGTTAGTGAACATATAGGACACATTACCCCCCAGAAATGGCCTTTTTTTTTTCCTTAAAAAAAAATGGCGAGAAAAGGCTTTAGATCAACTCTGGGATGCTAAATAATAGGTACTAAAGGCCAACCAGGGATCTGGAGGGTTCATCCCTAGGGCTGCGTCCTGCCACACCACCAGGAGCCTACTAGCCTGACGTGAGGGAGGCATAAGGCAGAAGGTAGAAAAATGGGGCTCCTGGTGGTGTGGCCGGGTCACAGAGGCCCAGTGTTTTGGACTGGACTTCTCAGCAGGTGGGATGTGCTTCCCCTTTGACTCCCCAGGTGGGTTCTGTGCTTCCAAAGCCAGCAGCCATCGCTCCCTGGGCACCAGAGTCACTTCTCAGAGAGTCTCTTTATGCCCTCTGCCCTGTCAAAGAGCCATTTGGCTGGCCAGTGTCTCCCAAGGCACGAGCTGGTCTCTTGTTGTTGTAGAAGTAAGATTTTAGGAGATCAAGGAGTTCCCAGCTCACTTTTCATAGCTGGTTTGTTTCCCAGTGCTTCTCTGGGCCTTTTATTGTCTTGTGGTTTGTGTTAGCCAGACCCAGATTCCAGAACTTTCCCATTCTCCTTGGAAGCCCTCAACCCTGATCACTAATTCATAATAGGGAAGCCGTGGACGTTCTGTTGAGGTCAACATCTGCTGGCCCACCCCCCCCCCCCCCCGCCCCGCCACCGTGAGGCCCTGTGCACACAGGATTCGGGAGTTGAGGAGGGCAAGGAAGACATGTGGGCACTCAGAACATCCTCCCTGATCCCCAGTCTCCCTCCCGTCCCCCGTTCTACATCCCGCTCAGTGACATGCACGCTCACTGCTGCTTCCTCACCTCACATGGTAGCATTTCTTACAGGGAGCTGACCCCAAGGAAATCTGTAGCCCGAGCCACCTCACTTAGACTGAGTTCAGAAATGCCATGCAGGACAAATCATTTCTCCAGGAGCTGTTGGCTCCGTGGAGCTTCTCTGGAGATTGCTCAGGCTCGGAAGAAGTATCTCCATTAGGTGGGTGCTGGCTGGTGACCTAGGGACCATATATAACAGAATCTTTGTCTTGTAATTCTAGCGAGGATCGAGTAATTGAACACTACAAGAAACTGAACGGCCAGACCAGAGGTCAAGCAATTGTAAAGTAAGTGGCCCGTCCCGGTGCCTGTGAGGTTGTGTTTGTGTGTGTTCACACAGCATGTGTCACGGCTGTTTGGTTCTGCTCGCAAAGACCAATCTCCGGGGGGCAATGAATGGTTCAGGGTCATTTTCAAGTAAATCATCACTCCGAGAGCTTTGTCATGCGTGCACGCGCACACACACACACACACACACACACACACACGTATATGATTCCAGTTCTGCCGAATAACCACCCTCGTGTGTGTGTGTGTGTGTGTGTGTCTGTCTGTCTGTCTGTCTGTCTGTCTGTCTTTCCAGCTACATGAGCATCGTGGAGTCTCTCCCGACCTACGGGGTTCACTATTATGCAGTGAAGGTAAGTGACAAGCCTGCCCTTAAAAAAAAACACAAGCAACTCCTCACTTTTTTCCTTTTTAATCTGACTGAAGATGTGGTGGGGGGCTGGAGGTGGGCGTGGCGGGGGACTGGGTCCGGAGGATTGTGTGCTGGGGGAGCGGGGGCACTGGAACTTTCCCCTGTGTAGGAAGACTTGATGCAGTTTCTCTTCAAAACTCATGTTCCCTCCTATAAAGTGGGTATAATAAATCACTACTTCCTTTTAGACTCAGAAGAATCCTGGGAGGTCGGGACTGCAGAGCTTCTGGGTGTGGAAGTCCAGTGGAACATGGACCCTATTCCAAACTCACTTTAATTTTATCCACAATGCCCCTGCCTGGGATTCCTTATCGTTGGATAGAATAACTATATTCGAAATAATAGATAACGATGTCCTGGTGCGCCCTTATCTATGCTGAGAAAGGATAATTTTCCTCCCTCCACTTACCCCAACATGAAAAGTACAAGTCCTTGCCCAAAGTCCAGCCACAAAGAGCAGAAAATACTCCTGAATGCAAGATGGTTTCCCCCAATCCACACTGAGTCTCTTGCTCGTTGGCCAGTTTTTTTCCCCATGTTTCCATCCAGCTGTATTTTTAATTCCTTTGGGCCAGAACGTGCTCCGTGTTTCATGTATCTTTGTGTTACTCATGGCAGCCCGCACAACACTTTGCGTAGCCTTGGTAGGGTAGATGTTCGGCTATAGACAGAGTGGAAATCTTGGAGCAGAGACTTCATCCGGTCGTTTACTTGTGTAAATGCGTGTCCCATCTCTTTGTCAGCCCCGGTGCCTGACAAAAGGTAGCTTCTGATGTATGTGCTCTCTGCCTTACAATAAAACTTGAGAAACAGGCTCTTTTACAATCTGTGAGAGCAGAGCAGACCTTGTGATGTATGCAGAGCACCAGAAGTGCATGCATGTTTGGCCCTCGGAATCTCCGGGCTTAAGCAACTGCGCTCCTACTTATTCGGAGAAAGAGCAAGCCCACACCAACCGTCTCCAGCCTCGCCAGTTGGTGGCCCCGTGATGTCACAGATGCCGTGTTCTATGGCGTGGTGACCACTGTACCTGGTCACCCCGGAGCTGCGGTGGCCTTGAACCCCCCCGCCCCTTGTGCTGCTTTCTGGAACTGTTGCAAGACACATAGGCACTTCCCAGAGACAAACATTTTATACCTTAAAAAAAAAAATGTGTAGGAAATCATATACCCTGAAACTTTTCTAAAAATTCCAAATGTATTTCCTTGCCCTTTTTTACCTTTGCGCCTACCTTAAGATAACTCATGGGTATTTGAAAAGCATGAAGCCCATTTTGAGTTGCTAAGACATTTACAATGGGGTGAACTAGATTATTCATGGTGTGGCAATTAGGACAAATGTAGGGGGAAGGCTGCTTCCTATGCCCATTCGGCTCCTAGCATTTGGGTGCTGTAATTAACAGCTCAGAGTCATCCCTACCTGAATGTAGGATCACCGTTTACGATCTGGTGGCAAGAGGTCTCTGTTAAAGGAGTAAAGAGAGGGACTTGGTGTTTCTAATTCAGGTCTTGAAAGATCTAGGCTTCGATTTTGCTACTTTTGTCTGACAGCATGAGTCACTCAGTCCAGCGGATCCCTTAAGATGAGCAGGACCACCTGGTGGCCCCTGCCATTGGCCTGCTGGAGAGATGGGGTGGGTCCTGAATGGAGCAGGACCAACCCTTTGCTTTGACTTCTTTGTCTTTAAAATTGGAGGAATCTTAAATGCATATTACTGAGTGAAGGAAGCCAAGGTGAAAAGGCTACATACTGTGTGATTCCAACGATATGACATTCTGGGATATGACATTCTGGACGAGGCAAAACTGGTTGCCAGAACCTGGGAGGGGGAGAAGGGGCGAGTTGGGAGAACACAGGATTTTTAGGACAGTGAAGCTACTCCAAATGATATTATAATGGTGGATACACATCATTATACATTTGTCCAAACTCATAGAGGATTCCACACCAAGAATGAACCCTAATGTAAACTCTGGACTTTGGGTGACCATGATGTATCAATGTAGGTTCATCAAGTTATAAGAAATGTTCCCCTCTGGTGGGGATGTTGATAGTGGGGGAGACTCTGCAGGTATGGGGGCAGGGGTGTATGGGACTTCTCTGTACTTTCCTCTCCATTCTGCTATGAACCTCAAAACTTCTCTAAAAAAAAAAAAAAAGAATAAAGTCTCTAAAAAATTAGAGGAGTCAACTTCTCCACGGTCCCTTCTAGCTCTGATAGTCAATGACAGTTTCTCGGCTCAGAAGGTCATTTTATTAGAATGCTCTCAGATGTTCTGTTGCGGTGAAACCTGGAGTCTTAGAAGGAGGACCAAGAACAAGGCATTGGTCACTTACTCATGAAGGGGGGCGGGGAGGATCACGGTGTGCTGCTGGTTAGGAACAGAGCTGGGTCCCCACCCCAGGGCATGTTGCACGGCACCTGTTCATGTAACTAAGCATCATCTGATGATGTGGCACATCTGTTAAGGTGAAAAGGAGAGAGGTGGGCTCCATCCGTATCAAGGGATTTGTATTTTCCTCTGTTATCGCATGAGCCAGGAGGCCTTCCCTTGGTTCCCATGTGTGTTCTCCGGCCCTGTATTTACCTGCCCTCCTTTCGGTGCCCTAGGACAAGCAGGGGATACCGTGGTGGCTGGGACTGAGCTACAAAGGAATCTTCCAGTATGACTACCACGATAAAGTGAAGCCGCGGAAGGTAAGCATTCTCTCCTCTGTGGGCGGACGGCTCACAGAGAGAAGTGAGTAAAAATATTACACCGTGCAGCCTCAGGGCCTCCGGGCTCACCAAGCCCCTGCTAATTTGAGTGTATACAAATTACTCCACAGTCCTCCAGTCTGAGTTCCCGGGTAAATATTTTTTCTCCCGGTCACTAGGGAAACCTGAGCTGTTACAATTTTTTAAGGTAAGGAGATGGGCCCAGCTCTCCCAAAGCAGATGGGCAAAAGGGCTTTGAGGGACTGTCCTCTAACTTCGTTTCCTGGCCTGGGAGAGTGAAGGCTCCGTGCACTTGAGAAACGGAGGGAACATCTCATTTCAGTCCTGAGGCCAGTCTGAGCTTTCCCAAAGCTTGTCAGTGCGCTTTGTTGGTTTTTTGTTTTGTTTTGTTTTTGGGGTGGGGGTTTGGTGGCTGGGAGCTAAAAGAAGAAATTGTAGGTCAAAACAGGGTGAAAAATAAAGAAGTGTCAGAGGCGTTCCTGCAAGTATGCAGGAATTTTGATATTCCTATAAATATTTTATGGCATATTTTATGGCATAAATATTTTATGGCATATTAGAAGTGATCAGAAATCTGGAAAAAATAAGGTCATTTGCCAAAAAAAAAAAAAAAAAAGGGAAGCAGAGTGGGGTCTGCAAGGCCATCATAAACACAAAACAGAATGTTTGAAGGGGACATGGTGCTTGACTTTTCTCTGTTTTCATTTACACACATTTTTCAGACCAGAACAAATTGAAAAATTATAATGGAAAAATATCTCTGGGCTAGCGCTGTCATTCAGATCCTCTGGCAGAGAATAATGGAGAAGAGGTATGCAGTTCAAGCCCCGAAATACATATGAAAAGTCTATCAAAAGCACACTTGCTGTGGGAGAGAGAAAGCAATATTGGTCCATTATGTCATTCTGGATGGCTTTCCAAGCTTCTTTATCCACGAACGGGATGGAAATCCATGCTACATATCTGAGCTTATCGTAGGCTGTCTGCTTAGCATCTGCCTTAGCCAGCTTCTTTATTAAAATGATAGGGGGAAAAAATGGCCCTTGGCTGGGGAGGATTTTTACTCTGTTGATCAGTAAGTCAGTTAAGTTCAAAGAAAAGATCCTGAGCAAGTGAGGGGGGTGCTCTCCCTTGGGAAGAGTGCAGTAGGGCCCTGGCTGTCCAGGGGCACATTGTTCGATGGCTAAATCCCAGATCTCTCCAGTTGCCACTCTATGCTGCCAGACGTGCATTGGGCCCTGTGTGATTTGTTCCTTCTGTGTTTTTCTCAGTCACAGGGTCTGTGCTTCTTCCACACTGTCTCTTTTCTTCCGGTTTCCCCTCTGCCTCTTTCCCACATGGCCTTTGTATGTTTCTGTGCCTTTTTTTTTTTTCCTTGCATGGTCTCTTTCCTCCTTCTTTGGACATCCACTCTCCTCTCTTTGCAACTTGCCTGGCCTTTTTTCCTGCTTGCAAGAGCTGAGAACCCTCCTAGATCCTCTCAGGAAACCCTGGTTCCAATCCCTCCAGCTCCCAATCACCGACACTTGGTGGAAGACCAAGGCCGATGTGCATAGCTGCCAGTGAGCAGAGTTTGTTCAAATGCAGCAGAATTCTGCTCTCCCTCTGGGGGTGGAAAAGACATGCTAACATGTATTCTTTGGCATTTGGTTTCATTTACTAATAAGTGTAAGCTGGCTTCATTTCTCTAATTGAGGTACTAATGAAGATTACAGAATTAATGAGCACCCAATAGACAGGAAACTCAGGGCGGGCACATTGCAGGGACTCCATCAGTTGTCGCTGTTCTGTAGGACTCTGTGACAGGCTTCAGGATCTGGAAAAGTACGAAGCCAAAGGTGTGGATAATCAGCCATTGACTGAGAGGATTTACTGTCATTTGTTGAGTTTATCCAGGTCAGCAAAATAAAAATGTTAAAAGGTCAGGATATTTATTCAGGCCATTGGCTGTACTCAAACCGAGTTGTTATGTAAAATAACTGATGTTTCTGTGGCCTCTGAGGAAGTAGTTACGAGGTGGGGATGGGGCAGAGGGAGAGGGAGAAGGGGGTGGAGCAGAGGGAGAGGAAGAAGCAGACTCCCCGCTGAGCAGGGAGCCTGACCCCAGGACTCAGATCATGACCCAAGCCAAAGGCAAAGGCCCAAACAACTGAGCCACGCAGGCGCCCCAGTAGTTGAGATTCTTGAGTCTGTTACTAATCGAGGAGCAACGAAACCACCAAAGTCGCTGTTCATTTGCTCATTCAGAAAAACGTTTATTGCATACTTGTTACGTGCCAAGCCAAGCGGAAGGTGTAGAGGTACAGAAGATACAACCCAAGGCCCAGCCAGGCCCTCAGGGAGTGAAGCGTATGATAATTGCTTTGGTGTCCCCAACTGCTCCAGGAGAGCTCTGCGTGAGGGTCGGTGTGGAATTAAAGGAGAGTCACTGGGTTTAAGGAGGAAAGCAAAGTGTTCACAGGCGGCAAAGTGGGAGCAGGAAGCATGGGGCAGGCGGGCGTGTAGGCGTGCATGGAAGCCCCTGAAGGGGAGCAGCGGACCAGTGGAAAGAAGCACACAGCCCCACTGGGCTGGAAGCAAGGGGCAGAGGAGGCCAGCCAGAGAGGAGACTGACGAGGCCCCAGAGGGTAGCTGGGGGAGCCCTGAAGGGTCTGTGAAGGGGGTTTCATCTTCGAGGCAGTGAGAGCCACCAAATATTTGACGCAGAGGAGGGGCCATATTGGAGTCTCACTGTCCTAGAAGCATTGCTCTGGCAGCGAGTGGAGGATGAGCTGGAGAAATACACAGCAGAACTTGCAAACTGGGACGTAATTACAGTGGCATAGGCCAGAAGTGGCAGGGGCGCAGGGTGTCAGTAATAGGGTGATGTTTAGAAGGTCGGTGAGATTGATCGGTTGTATGGGGCCAGAAGGTGGCAGTCAGAAGATGCTTCCCAGCCAGAGTACGGGATATAAGGGCAGTTTAGGACATGCAGAGTTTGAGGCGTGATGGGACATCTGGGTTTGCTGTGACAGGTAAGCAGTTGGGTATTCAGTGGGAGCTCCAGAGTGTGCAGAATTTGCAAAGCATAACTGAACCAGAGACTGAACGGGCAGTGGAGAGGAGATGGAGAGGGAGTGACACTTGGCACACCAGAGAAATTTCCAGTAGCTGTGAGCAGACTTGGGCTGGGTTCCCCACCGTGACATTCACTGTGTGACGGAGGCGGGACCAGGTGGCGCAGCCCTGAACCCGATGACATTTGGGGAGCCCTCTTTAAGACATGAATGGACAGATTGCACAGGAAATAAGAATAGTCCTTTGCAAGGGCTGGAAGACGAAGAGATGCCTGAGTTTCATTAGCCCGAGGAGTGTCCTTGTCTGCAAAGACGCGGGGTGGGACCTGCAGGAAAACCAGACCTAAACTGGAGCCATGGTTGAGGCACGGCGGCAGGAATGTGGCAGGGAGCCTCTTCCTTCTCACCCCCAACATCAACACCACCGTCGTCGGGAAGAGTCTGTCTGTTACGTGGAAGGCACCCGTGAGTCTCTGGGGACGCAGGCTGCACTCCTGGCACCTGAGCTGCGCGCCCACGGATCTGTGTGGGCACGCTACTGCGGGCTGATGCGGAGTCACACAGAAAGTGCCCGAAGTCAGTCTGCACTGCTCCAGGCCGGCCTTCTGCAGGTGCCACAGCCGCCCGGCTCCACTCTCCCCCGTCTCTGGCCCAGCCAGTTCCCCAATGCTGCCGGAGTTCGAACTGGAAGCCAGCTGTGCTTCCCTTGCAAACTCGCGGAAGGTCAGCCCGGCTCTGCAGGTATGTCTGGCAGCGCCTCTGCGCGCGGGGAGAGCCGCAGGGCCCCAGAACCCAGGGTGCGAGGCAGCCGGCTCCTGGGAGGGCGGCCTTCCAGCAACACCACGACCCCTACTCAGGGCCCAGGCTGACGGAGCTCCACCACGGTAGGCCCCCAGCGCGGCTCAGGAGACTGGGAGTGGCGCCCAGTTCTGTGCCTGGAGGCCCTTCTGTAGCAACAGCTGCACCTCCAGCCCCGGCAGAGGCCCTGCCTGACACTCTGACCCAGTTACTGCAGCTCAGTCACACACAGCGCCATCCTGAGAGCCAACATTCAAGTAGAGGCAGCGACAGGCTGAGCCTGCTGCCTTTCCTTCCGACGGCCTGGAGGCATCCTCTGGTATGCATCAGCAAACCATCCACACAGCCAGAGGAACTCAGAAGCCGCCCGTGAGAACCCACTCAAGTGTTTCCATATGATCCACTGAAAAAGGGGGGGTGGGTAGCTGATCGCTGTCTGTCCAGAAATGGGTGGGACCCTGGCTCATTCCAGTGTCTCTAGTTGGGTGCACTTTGCCATTGTGGTCACAGAGTCTCCCCTAAATTGCTTAATCATCACTCTGAGCCCCTGATGGCTTTGGGTGACATGGAGTAAAACATAGAGTCCCTCACGGGTGGAGTAGAGAGAACATGGAAGTCCTTTCCTAATCACACGCTCCTACCTGCTACCTGAACCTTCTACACAAATGGGCTCCGGCTTGCAGAAGCACAGCCCCAAATACAAGCCGTTGCTGTTTATCAGGAGAAAATCAGGAGAAAACCAGCTTCTTTGTCCTCAGGGCACACATGTCAGGAGCAGCTAGACACGGGACACCTGAAAAGGGTGTTTTGGCTTTTGTGTATGTTCAGAAGCTCAAGGCCAACTTCAGAAGTATTTTTTTTTTTATTTTTTAAGATGTTATTTATTTTGAGAGAGAGAGAAAGCATGCACATGAGTGGGGGGGGGAGGTGGTGCAGAGGGAGAGAGCAGACTCTCCTGCTGAGCATGGACCCCCCCCACCCCCACCCCCGACATGACACACGGGGCTTGCTCCTAGGACCCCGAGGTCATGGCCTAAGCCAAAGCCAAGAGTCAGAGGCTCAACCACCTGCGCCACCCAGGTTGCTCCCAGAAGTATTTTAGAACTGCATGTGCAGAAGAATAGC